CCCTAAACTAGTTAAAATCTAATAATAAGAAGTAATTAAGAAATATAAAGGACTACTAGATAAAGAAGTATTAGTTAATTAATTATTAAAAACTTTTAATATTATGGACTATAAAGTATTTAATAATTCTAATATATAAAGAGAATTAATTACTATAAGAGAAATAACTTAATATTATAGAAGTTAATTTTGGATTAGAAGATTATAACTATATTAATACTTATTTAAATACTCTTAGATCTAATATTCTTTATTTCCTTACTATATTTAAAGCCTCTTAAATACTAGTCTATCTTTATATATTATTAGATTATAGCTCTAGTTATATATTTATATTAAAATATCTAGCTAACTTATTACCTTCCTTATAGTTTTAATTTTAATAAAATCTAATTAATTATAAATTTATCTACTAAATAGTAGATATCTATATATATATTATATTAAGTTTAGATTCTACTTAAGTTAGGTAAATAGTGCTATATTATTACCCTATAGATTCTTAAAACTATAGAGTATAATATTATCCTAGATTAAGATTAACTAAAATACTTTAATCCTAATATTAATTAGATTATAGGATAGATAGTTATAAAAGGGTATAGAATAAAGTATACTGCTATCTATCCTATTAACCTTAGAAACTAGATTAAACTAGATTTAGAAGAATCTAATCTAGAAGTATTTTTTAATTTTATATCTACTAAATAGCTTTAATATACTCTTTATAAAGATTAATAAGAGGCCTAGCTATTTATTATTTAAGAATTAAAAGAAAATACTAATGTACTAATAAATCTATAATACCTAAATTCCCTACTTACCTAATATAAGAATATATTTAGGGAAGAGTTATACCTAGGGATGCCTTCTAAAAAATAATATAGTAAAATTAACTTAACTTTAAATAATAAACTAAGTAGAGAAATAATATATAATTTATAAAAGAATAATTAAACCTAAAGAAATACTAGTAGAAGAGATATAAAAACTAATAAATTTTTTATAATATAATTCTAGTTTATTGAGAGTAATTAGAGAAGGATAAATTATCTAGTATTATAAAAATATTAAAATAGAAAAGATTATTACCTACTTAATTAAAAAGCTAAATACTCTAGAATAGTTTAACTAATTATAGAAAAAAACTATAAATAAGCTTTAACTAAGGAAATTTTTATTATACTTATTAAATTATTAAGAGTTTATTAAGGTTAACTAGACTTTCTTAACTTTATTAACTTCCTTAATAAAAGCTATACTTAACTATCTTAGCCTCTACCTTAGCCTAAAGATTATTAAGGTTATCTTTAATATTTTTTTTAATAGTAGTAATAATCTTACTTTAAAGAGTTATATTAAGATTATTTAACTTCTTTTCATTTTTATTAAGAGTAGCTTACTTTATAGCTAGCTTTCTTCTTAATAAGAACTATAATTTACTTTTTAAAGATCCTTTTAAAATAAATTATATTATATTATACTACCTAAAGCTAATATAAATTATTCTAAATATTTATAGTAATTAGCTAGGATAAGATATCTCTATTAAGACAATTCTTCTTCTAATATTTAATTAGAGTAGGTAAAGGCTCTAACCGACCCTTCCACCTAAGTTACAGGGTCGCCCGCTAGGGCGACCCTACCACCTCAACGTAGGGAGCCATCTCAACGTAAGCCTATTTTCCCATACAAAAGCCCATATTTCAAAGGTAGATATCTCAACTCTAGAGGCCTGAATACTTATAAAAATTAGTATTTACCTTTAGTACTATTATCTCTATAAAATACTATAAGGAGAAAAAATTCTCTAGCTTCTCCTTAAAGTTAATAGTGTCTAGTACTAATATATATATGTAGAAATAGACTTCTAGTATTATCTTTATTCTCATAAAAGTATGGAGCCTGTGACTTTACTATACTATTATATAAGTAATTCTCTGTGTACTTACATATTACAGAGATGATATCTAGTATATTATAGACTAATATACTAGAAATATATATAATGAACATAGACTTTATATATGCGGATAGTATAGATATACTATTAGAATAAGTAATAATATTTATATAGGTATATACAACAGAGTCTATACTTTTTTATGAAAATTTTTAATTAATTTTATAGTCTTCTATTATGGTTATATTAGTTAGAAATGTACATATCTTTTGATTCTTATGTTGAGATGGCTACTTATGTTGAGCTGGCGGGGTCGCCCTAGCGGGCGACCCTGTAACTTAGGTAGAAGGGTCGGTTATAGATAAAATATAATACTTTGTCTTATTTAGTAAAGAAGTACTAAAAGAAAGAGATAAAATATTACTCTTAGAATAATATAAAATTATATTAAATTTATTAGTCTAAAGGAAACTATATTAATAAAGATTACTTAGGTAAGGATTAATTATTATATCTATAGTCTTTATAGCTAAAAGAAGAGTACTATTAATTAAACTAGCTTTAGTACTAGTAGAAAACTTAGCCTTTAATAAAAGAAATATATTATTATTACCCTATTTCTTATAAAAAGGTTAGAGGTACCTAGAATAAGTATTACTAACTAAAGATAATATAATTATATTAGGGGTTAGCTACTTTAAAAATATTTTAATTATCTTAATAGAAGTAGTAATTATAGAGAATAAAGTCTTATTAATAGTATGTTATTTATAAGTATTATTAATAGAATTAGTAATAGGMTAGTTGTAAATATAATTACTATTATTAAAAGCTTAAAGGCCTTCTTATTATAGAATAGTACTATATAAATTAGTATAGAGTAAAAAGAAAATTAAAAATTAAATAGATATATATATATATCTATCTCTAGACTAATAGGCTAATTTACTATTATAAAACTTATACTAGATACTCTTTAAATATTAGATATAAATAGTATAAGCTCCTATAAATAATATATAGTATTTACTATTAATAGATACTTTAGGAGTAGTAATATAAAATTAAAAAATATCTCTACTCTTTATATACTAATTATAAGGCTTATTTATAACTTTATTATAAGTTTAAAAAATTATAGTATCTTAATAGTACTAATTCTTTAGCTCTTTTTAAAGTAATTTATTATTCCTTATTATCTAATTAATATTATAAACTAGATTAAGGAGAATAGTATAACTATACTAAGTCTAAATAAGGCTATAATTAACTTCTTATTCTACTTTATAGACTGCCCTAGTCTAATTAGTAATATTAAATAATATATCTTTAAGAGAACTAAAAATATATTATATAGTAAGATATTCTAGGAAGGTGATATACTTAGTAAGACTAAGTTATTTAAGAATCTAATTAATAAAAGTTTAATATAAGATAAGAAAAGGATCTATTAAAAACTAATTATAGATATATATATAATAAAGAAAAGTTAGGAATATTTATATCTAAAAAATAGATACTAATAGTAAAAGCTTACTTATTTATCTATACTTATTAGTTAATTCTACCTTTATTAATTTATTTATATATATTATAAATAATAATATTTACTATAATTCTTTAAATACTATATAATACTTATTAATTACTTAGGTAACTTACTTATTAAATATTATTAAGTTAATCTAATTATATCTTTTATATATTAAATAAAGAATATACTAAGCTACTACCACTCTAATTTTAAAATAGAAGTATAAAAAATAATTTAGGTAATTCTATAGATAGTTAATAAAGAAATAATAATATCTAAATACTAGATTGGGTAATATAATATATCTTAGTAATAGTTAAATCTAGGGTTATATTATAGGTGCTGACTAAGTTCTATATATAATTACTAAGAACTCTATATAGAGTTTAATCTAAGTAGGGGAGGATGTGATATTAATAGATATATATATAATTTTAATAATATCTATAAGATATGTAATAATATCTAGTAGTTATTATTAATTATATATCTAGTATTTAGACCTCTCCATTCCTTATAGTTTAGGTTAAATATAAAAGGGATGGGAATCCCTCAATATCAATAAGGATGTACGGGGGCGGCTGCTGGCCTACCCCCTACCCTTACATGGTTCAGAGGCTCCAGAAGCTCCCTCCCCTACTGCAATGACGAATATCCCAATATAATAGACTATAGATATCTCTATAAGTTACTAAGTATTCTATAATTTAGTAATAAGTTCTCCTTAGATAATATATAGTTATCTTACTCCCTTCATACTAATCTTACTAGTTGAGTAGTTGACCTCAGACCTTATTAGCTAACATTACATTAGTAATTAGTTTAACTATAAAGGTATTACTAATTTACTATTACTATACTCTCTATCATTTAATAAAGAGCATTCCCTAGGTGCTCTGACAAGTATAGTAAAGAGCTATGAGCCTATGATAATTTAACTTAGAAATAGTGCTTAAATTAGTACATTGACTTCCTTCCTTAATAGGAAGGCTGAAGGTGCTATAACATATTAATATAGACTTAGCTAATAGCAGAATTAGTTAATAGGTATAGGAAAAACTTTATAATACTACTTATTATTAAATAGTTTAGAATTATTAAAATAAATAATGAGACTAATTAGATAGTTAATCTCTAATTGACTCTTGGAAGCCCAGGATATGCTACAATTTAATAGGGCATTGTGTGCATGGACTAGTATATTAGAGAAGATGGTTATTCTTATAAGCTAACTAGCTAATATAGCTGGATAACTAATATACAGTGCCATGTGAGATGGATACATAGCAGTTTATAAAGAGATATACATATTCTGCCTCTATAGAAACTATGTAAGAATAAAACATATCCTATAATCCTAGTATACTCACAGGAAAATGATAATCAGTGATTAATCCAACTATAAGTATGATAAGTAATACCATGCAATATTAGATAACTATCTTATAATGAAATAAAAACTAGCCAGTCAACTAATTTTAAATAAAGAGGCTAATGGCTAACACACTCATAGTTCCTAAAAAGTGATAGAACTGCATGTTACTAAATCATAGGTTATAGGTATCAATGCAGGCCACTCATTATGTCCTCATCTACATCCCAGCTGGAGATATCATCTTTGAATTTCATCCCAAACTGGCCAGAACTGTGCTGAGAGGCATTCTTAGCCCTTCGGAGGAACTGGAGATGCTCACTGCTTAGCTCCAAATCATGGTTGCTCTGACCGAGGTTAGCGGCGAGCGTCGACAACAAGAGTCTCTCTGAATCCAGGAGAAATGCTATATGCTCTTCCCCAAAAGAGTTCGATGCTCCTCCAGCGTGGAAATGAAGCATTGTGGGCTTGTGGTTACTGTTCGAGTGTAAGAGAGTCGAGTCCAGGCCGGATATCACCATAGACGATATAGATGTTTCAGCCTCGGTGGAGGGGACCGGATCTGATGCTATTCGCTGCGCGATGTCTGCGATGGCCACGGCTGAGAATGTACTGCCTAGCTTCACCACAACAGACTTCCTGTGCGCATGAACAACCTGGAGAACTAGACCCATGTTGTTATCCTGGACTGTGTGTTAGAATAGGAAACACCAAACGGGTCTTTCATCAGCTTACAGCGAGCCATATCGCCCGACCAACGTCAACTTCGGCCCAGAGCCTCTCTGTGTCGTCATTTTCAAAGGTATCCGCCAGCGAGACATATGGCAATATCAATGACTGATAGACCTTCATCACATGCGGATTGATCATCTCAGGCGTTGATATAATCTGTTGATTGGAGGAAACCTGTAAGTTATACTCTCAATGGCATGCAGATTGTTGGCTCTCTTAATACACACCTTCCCTTTCGCCAGTAGACTGACAAGAAGCCACTTCTTGTATGCCTCAACCATAATCTTACTGACAGTATTGGCGACAGGGCAACTGACGACTATGCACAAGAGATGAAGCGCACTCTCCCACTCCTTAAGTGCCATGTATATCATAGCGCCATATAGAAAGTATTGCAGGTGGTCCCTATATGTCACCTGTGCAGTGAATCCGGAAGCATGGGTGATGTACGCCGCGCTTGACCCGTGCTCAGAGCAGAGGAAGACCTGACGGTGCGCCTGATAAGCATGACTGGGACCGGCAGGAAAGTGATACATAGCCTTGTTTAGGACGGGCAATGCGTGCCTGTACGATCTGCTGAGTAGGCAAAGTTTCATAAGAAGGAGATGTGTCGATGTGAAAGTTTCAGATGCCGGATCAAGTCGGAGTATTGCATCTCTAACCGCTTGGACTGCTAGGAAAGTCTATGTTATTCCTGTCATGTTTAGCAAAAGAAGAAATGGCTATGACTATGACTGGTGAATGAATAAATTCGTCTTGCCTTTGAAGAAGCCTGTGCGGCGTTGGCTACAAGCTCAATAAGTCGTCTCCATTCCTGGCCAGCGTAGCGAACTTGGATTGGGTCGAACACCCTCAGAAACTCAATAGCCCTCTTCCACAAGTGTCCCCCAGGCTGGACATCCTTTGGCAGACGTTCGCCCAAGACCTTCACTCGAGCATGGAAAACGAATAGATAGGCCACCGAATGCAGAGACGGATTGAGACCCTGTAAAGGTTTGTCAGGGGTGCAAGCGAGCGACGACACCGGTCATATTGACAATGGCATCACAAAATGGCATAGTTTTGCATCTGCTTACATCCAGCAATAGATCAGCACTTCTTGTGATCTCGTTAAGTCTTGTAGGTTGTTTTATATAGGCAATGAGCTCGTAAAGTTGGCGATCATAGTCTTCCTCATTTGAGGCATGCTGGAGGGATGACACCACAGTGAGGCGCGACAGTATCTCTGTCATCTTTCAACTCATCTGATCACCGTTTACAGATTGGGGACAAGAAAGACAATCTGGCTCTCTGAGTGTAAGGATATCAGAATGCGTGGGTCTCAGGTGGCATTGGCATATGCCAACTTGCAAAATGATAGTGAGTAGACTGTTGTCATACCAAGTGATAGTGGTATTCACCACCAAACCATGATACATGTTATGTGATCATGAGCCTTTGGTGTGGTTCCCTTGCAGTACTCTGTGTTATAACCATACATCTGATAACAATCTACTGTACTATATAATGTGATATAACTATAATGCAGGCTTCGAGGCAATCTCACAGCCTCTACTTGTCTTTGTGGATTTCTTGTTAATAATATAGTCAATATTAATACGGAGAAGTTCAAACCCCTCTAATTAGTTTTAGCGCAAGAACTTATTCCGAAACCTACCTCTCTTACTTCTAGGGTAGTCCGTCATTAACCTGCTTGATTGTGTATTGAGCAATGATACAACTACAGACGAAAGGTATCATGAATAATATATTTCAGCTGGTCAATAGGTAGCACACGAAGGTATCAGGAATTAGACACCTCTTGTTAGTTATCACTGTAGAGTGGTAAACAGCGGGTATTTCCCTGCCCCACATCTGTAGGATTATTTTGACATTTGAGTCATAGTAGCGTCGGAGCTATAGTCTATCTGATTGTCACCTTGCTAGGGCTTAAATTTTCTTTTGTGCTACACGTCAAAGGTTCTCGCAATGTCGCTCACTGACTCCTCCGCGGTTGACATCGCGAGGACTGCGTCCTTAGCCTCTCGTCAACTCGCAACTTTGTCCACAATTGACCGCAACGATGCGTTGACAGCGCTTCACGATGCTCTGTCGAGAAATCGAGAAATCATCCTTGATGCCAACGCAAGGGATGTTGCGATAGCAAGCCAAGCGGCTAATAACGGCAGTCTCAGCCACAGTGTCCTCAAGAGGCTCGACCTGTCGAAACCTGGAAAATATGACGACATGCTAAAGGGGATTCTTAGTGTACGGGATCTGGAAGACCCAGGTGTGTACATGAATTGGTCGAATACACATCATACTAACGAGGCTATCAGTGGGAAGAGTGACCCTGAGGACGCTACTGGACGATGGTCTCATCCTGGAGAGAGTGAGCTGTCCTATTGGTGTCTTGCTGATAATATTCGAGGCCCGTCCCGAGGTGATCGCGAATATCGCGGCACTCTCCATAAAATCAGGAAATGCTGCCATTCTGAAAGGTACTTGTGCATGATTGATAGCAAATTCCACATTGCTGACTTGAGTGAAGGTGGAAAGGAGTCAACCGAGTCCTTCATCGCCATATCGAAAGTGATATCTGAAGCGATCTCAAGAACACGCGTACCCGAGGCATCAGTCCAGCTCGTTAAAACTAGAGACGTTGTTTCATCACTTCTAGCGCAGGATTCCTTGATTGACCTGGTCATACCCCGTGGTTCCAACGACCTTGTCAGATTTGTCAAGGAGAACACCAAGATTCCGGTTCTCGGTCACGCTGATGGTCTTTGTTCTGCATATCTGCATGCTGATGCAGACCCAGCAATTGCTGTCAAAGTCATTGTCGATTCTAAAACAGATTATCCCGCTGCTTGTAATTCGTTGGAGTCTTTGTTGGTTCATGAAGATGCCCTTGGGACTGTATTCCCCGGTGTCGCGCAAGCCCTTCTGGCCAAGGGAGTTCGTCTTCGTTGCGACATTCAATCGAAATCTGCCCTCTTGAAATATATATCCTCCCCGTCCGCAAATTTACTAGAGGATGCAGTCGACTCTGATTTCGACACTGAATTTTTGGATCTTGTCCTAGCTGTCAAGACCATTCCTTCAACAACGTCACCAATCTCAGCTGTCGAGAACGCGATTTCCCATATTAACTCACATTCGTCGAAACACACAGACCTAATTGTGACAGAGTCGAAAGATATTGCCGAATATTTCATGAGTGGTGTGGATAGCGCTGGGGTTTTCTGGAATGCATCGACTAGATTCGCAGATGGAATGAGGTTTGGGTTTGGCACCGAGGTTGGCATCAGTACTAATAAAATCCATACGCGAGGGCCTGTGGGTTTGGATGGATTGACCATCTACAAGTATCTGCTTAGGGGTCAGGGACACAGGGCAGGTGATTATTTCGAAGGAGAGGGAGGTAAAAAGTGGAAACATGAGAATCTAGCTATTTAGTGGCTTCATGAATGATTTGCGATATCGACCGGCACAAATAAGAAATTCATTCCTTTCACTGTAATTTACTCTAGGCACAGCGTTTCCGGAGATTCCGGATTCAACAGCGCGAGCTTTGCGGCCACGTTTCCTACTCGGTTAGAAGCTCCTCCACATCTGATAGCAAGAAAGCAAGAGCCCTTGTGCAAGTACTTTTGGCAATAGGTTTATGTGACAACACCAACTCAACCCACGGGACATCGTCAAACTCCTTGACATGCCTGCTTAAACCTTGAAGCCACGAGACCTTCTACGTCCGCGAGCTCTCTCGAATTTCCGACCCTTGCTTCGAACGTAAGGTTTCTAATTCAAGTATCAGTATGACTGGGTTAACACACGATAGTGAGGTATGGTCTCACCTTGTGGCTGTGGGGTCCGAAGCCGAAGTGCTTGACAGCTTCACGGGCGTTCTTGGGGCCACGGAGGAGAAGAGTGTTGGCTCCAGTAGGTGCGCGAAGTGCGAGCTGATCCAAGGTCAGAGTCTCACCTCCAGCCTTCTCAATCCTGGCTCTCGCAGTAGCAGTGAATCGCAAAGCGGCCACAGAGAGTTTGGGAACGGTGAGAAGACGATTGTCATCAGTAACGGTTCCAATCACGACGATGGTCTTGCCCTTGTGAGAATCGGTGACATTGGAAACGAGCCGCGAAAGGGAGACGGGAGGGCGGTTGATTCTCGACATGAAAAGGCGGCGCAGCACAACCTTGTTGAAGTTGGACTCCGTGCGGCCTAGCAGAACAGATAACTCAAATCAGTCTCCAATTGTGACCATCTCTATAAGCCAGGAATTCAAAGATTTATCATACGGGCGAGGAAGCGGTAGAGCTTCACAAGGACCTGCAGGTAGACGTTCTCGCTCTTCGGCGCCTTGCGGTGGGTGCTGCGCACATGGTGACGGTCCAGGTCGATACCTGAAGTGATACAACTGTTAGCAACTCCCTGTCTTTTGTGGACGTTGATAATTGAAACAATTAAACGCATTCAATATTGATATTTGAGCGGATATACATACCCATGGCTGCTGTATTTTAATAGGACACCTTGGGTGTTGGCTTGCTGTCGCGCCCGTATACAATGTAAATCTGTTGAGGTTTTTGATCTACGATTTTCAGATAGACGGTGTGTGCGGGTTGAGCCCTATACTAGTACAAATCTAGAATTTAGAGCTCGTGACCTACAACTAGGTGTGGGTCCCACGTCTATTGGTGCTATTTGTCCAGTGACTAGAGAGGTACCTTATGGTCCAGTACCGAGTAGACTGCTAAAGGCCTCTAGACATACCTCTCTAATCAGATTTTTATTATTCTCCTGTTTGTGAGGCCTGCATTCCACTAGTGTACTGTTCTTCTTCTGTCGAGTGACCTGTCCTTTCCTAAGGTACCACCTTCCATCTAGCCTAGGATTATTCTACTGTGCACATTTTTACATACTTCCCCCCGTGGTTTCTTGATCCAGGCTGGACACTATAGTCCATAAAATGAATGTATCAGGGTGTGTTTTGTGCCTAGGTACCTTAAAACTGTTCCCATGTCATTGGATCCTAGGACCTTTCTAGACCACGTTAAGAGCCAAAGCTACATGGGATCAATAGTCATTCTAAAGCATATGAATAAACTTGGCATTCGGCTATCTATACAGAGCAGTATAAGAGCAATAGAAAGCTTGGTATGGTACTTAACTCTATAGGTAAGCAATGGTGCCCCTGTGATTAACTGTGTGACTAGAGTCTCTATATGCACTAGAGAGGTAAAATAAGGTGTAAACTCAAAGTTAGAGGCCTGGATGAATTACCTTGGGAATATGCTCGCTTCCTAAGTACCTGTTTACAAAATGTATAATGCTGAGCCATAGATACTTTTTTTAAGAAGAAATTCATCTACCCCCTATGTATTTACAAGGGCAGAGCAAGAGAATGGCAAGAGTGTAAAGACTAGCTTGGCCATGTTGTAAGAATATATATACAATATACAATTGGTGGGGATCCCTGGTCAATGGATATCATCATTTAAGGAAGACTCATACTACCTTACCTGCGTCATATTCCACAAGGTGAAGCAGTAGTGTCCACTGACTCAAGCTATACCTACATGAGCGTATTATTCCTGCTAAAACCAGTTACATCTGCCTAACCTTTTAATGAAACTTTCCCACTCTACTATGATTATTATAAATATCAAGAATGGCTGTCAGCTAACAACTTCCATGAAGCCAACAGTCATGATTATTTCTCATCGCTAAATCCAACAAGAAAGTCCCTTGTCAACTCAAAGCTGAGCCAACTGCTAGCCATACTCGGAGCAACTTTCAGAAGGTTAGGCACTATTCCTCTGAAAAACCCGCGCAGGCCTTCCTCCGCGATGATAACCCTCACAGCGTCCCAAATTGATGTATACCGATAGCCCATTCCCGACATCGTGTTTATTTGGAAACGCCGTCGCAAGACATCACTATGACCGTATTAATTTGCGACTATCAAAAATAGAGAAGCAATGTCTCCTTGAATACTTACAATGGATATGTGCAAGTCTGAGCTACAGCCCCTGAGATGGCACCTGCTAGTAGCTTGCGCCAGGGACTGGGATTCTTATCCCCTTCAGGAGTCAAATACTTGCGAACAGACTCATATGTCATGAAATTGAGGCCCACCTAATCTCATAAGCACTTGTTCATCAATCTTCTGATTTCACTTACATATGGAGCAACGCCAGCGACTGTGGGGACAATACCGCGATAGAGGGCAACAAAACCACCCTCATTCTTATAAATCAGAACCATAGTTGTGAACATTCCAGGCAGTTGTTCGGCAGTGCTTCTCTGACCGAGAGCAGCGAAAGATGCGGACTGAATAGAGAGTCGCGTTCGGACGATGTCGAGAGGGTATGTAATGGTGACTGAAGTGATGCCAGCAGCTCCTCCACATAGTAAGCGCCGGATTGGCGACAGCTCAGCATCTGGAAAAGGCTCCGCGAACTGGAAAACGATAAAGGTCAGCATCTAGGCCACAACTCAGTTTATCCTGCTATCAGTCTCCGAGATCGACCTTTTTGTAGAAGTTGTAGCTCCCGAACTGGACGGCTGAATAAGGTATTATGCGAATGCAGTTTGTGCCGTTACCACGCATGAAGCCTCGCCAGCCTTCCTCTTTTCCAATCTTCACGAGAGCCCTCCATATGGATAGTTTATATTCCTCTCTGCCCACAGTCTGAATCTGAAGCAAGATTTTGAGGCGTTCGAGTGGTGATACGATCGTCCTCGATACAGCGCCGGCTACCCCTCCAGCAATGAATGCTGCGATAACGGGGTCGGATATCCTTTCTTTGGTTTTGGTCAAAACCGGTGTGCTCTTCAGCGGTGGTGCCTGAAAACAGATGTTAGCGGTGAAGAGTCGCGGTATGGGAGCTATAGCAGCGCTTTAACTCACATTGACTGGACCTGAGGGTGACAATTGACCAAGCTCGGACGAGTCGGTTTCCCCAGACGTTTCCATGCCAGCATCTCGCCTGTGTTGGTCGCGATCTAAGCTCATTTTATCACAGAAAGCTCAGTTTTCAAGTTCGTAGCCACAGATGGCTCGTTGTAAAAGCGAAGTGTCTCGACTTTTACGCGCCGTGTCCAAGCCCTGGCGCACTTTATAAATAGAGGGGTTATCTTTCGAAAAGGACGATCGACGTTTAAAGAGGACGACAAACACCAAAAGAAATGTATATATCAAGAAATGGCAAAGAATGAAGTCCAAAAGAGTCGTAAAGGGCACAGGTGCAATTATAGTCAGATGCTGCTAAGAAATCCTGAATGCAGGCTGATCAAGTCTCCTCAAGCTTTTCATTTAGCTAAAGCAGCATGAATGCCGCGGAGAAGGACGCAAACTAAATGACTGCCGTGATGGAAGAATGAATTATAAAACGTCAACTCCCAATGAAGCCAATGTGAATTGTACTGAGGCATTAGTAGGCGCCGATATTAAGGTTAAATCAACGAAAACACACGCCCTCGTTCCCACTAGTGAGATAGATGTTTTCTCCGTAGACCTGTTGATACAGACCTCAAAAAGGCTCAGATCATTTGAATACCCCATGCACAACTACTAGATATAATAGAACCCACACAAAAAGTAAGACATCTTGATTATCTTTAGGTTTACCTCTCCTTATATGGGGTGCATGCCGTGTCGACCTATTATCAAAACGGTCCTGTGGGTAATTACTGTAATTGTGGCCTAAGGCTACCAACATACCGGAAATTTACATCATAGGATAAACAAGACTTTCGATCGACTTCTACGAGAGCTACTCCGTATTCCAGCCCTCTCGCGGAGTGTCGGACTTGATCTACGACCACAGAGACCTGGGACAACTGTTGATCACTCTTGATATCCGTTCAGATGGTGCCAGCCGGACCTAAGTGGCCGGTCCAGGTTTACCATCGCCATCGCCAATTGGCAGTTGTACCTGTAGTCTACTTCTTACGGCATGTCAGATACTTGTTCTGGGTTATTTAGCCGTCGCAGAGCTCAAGAGTCGCAAAGTTGTTGCATGATCAGAGTATAGTCCGGACCAAAGTTTATACTTATATACTTCTAAATATGAGAAGTTCGGATTGTGTCTTTCACTTGAGATATAGGGACTTGAAATTTTCCTTAAAATGAATGCCATCTGTGGGTGTAGTCCATTAAGTAGTCCATAGGTATGGCGTGTTCGCTTGTGGTACATCCACCTCGCCGTAGTTCCTTTTTCATCTTGTACTTCCCTCACTACAACTTTCAACTACCATCGCTTTCTTGCATTTCTCCTTGGTCAGCCTTCTTTTCCACGAATCTTCCCAACGTGAATCTAGCTAGCTCAGACTTGAGCAACTGGGGCTCTATAAAGAATATCTTCATTCAACGTTCTCAAAAAATGTCTCGCGCAGGCACCACCCTGTATGTCACTGGTTTCGGGCACGGAACTCGGGCTCGCGATCTCGCATACGAATTCGAACGGTATGTGTCGCTCGTCGATTGCTACACTGAGAAACTTGCGATCTCCGTACCCACCTTCGCGCTTCGTTCAGTGACGTTCGACGCCTTTGGACTCAGGCTTCTACACATCTTGAGAGTAGAAAAAGCGGCTTTTCCTCATTTACGATTCGTCATTGCTACTTCCCCCCCTTCAACTCCCTGCTGACTAGACAAACACTGCGCTTCATGCTCTTTCCCCTGCCCCCAATTTGCCTTGTTTGTTATTACATGACGCATCCGGAGCTAATACTTTTACAGATATGGACGCCTCGTTCGGTGCGACATCCCAGCACCGCGTACTCCGTCTAGCAGACTGTACGTTATCCTCGATTTTCATACTTATCCATGGTTCTGACGAGGCTAGTTTTGCTTTCGTCGAGTACGAGAGCCGCCGTGATGCGGACGATGCATATCACGAGATGCACAATAAGCGGATTGGCCGCGATGATCTGCTCAAGATAGAGGTACGTTTCCTCGATTTCTGCCATTTTTCCTTCAGACTAATTTGCCCTTAGTGGGCGCGTACTCCTCCGTCTGCCTCCTGGCGCTTTGAATCCGGTCGTGACCGACGCCGTGATCGTACTCCCCCTCGTCGAGGTCGCTCTCCATCTCCTCGCCGTAGTCGAGGTGATTATTCCCCTCGCAGGGATGAAAGATATGAGAGAGACTATGACAGACATGACCGGGACTATGACCGTCGCGACCGAGACTATGACCGTCGTGATCGAGACTATGACCGTCGCGATAGGGACCGAGAACGCTCTCGTGACCGTTCGCGAAGCCCTGATGAAAGGGACCGTGACGTCAAGGAAGACAGAGAACGTCGCGACGATGAGAGAGAGCGCCGTGAAGACGATCGCGAGAATGGCCCGAACGGTGAAGACAGGAAAGGTACATTGCTTTCAATCCATCAGTTGACAGAGATGAGTACTGCAGCTAACTCTGGCAGCACCMCTGGATCCTCTAACTTCGGCTCATGACGAGCTAGATACTGCCGAGTAGGTTAACCCTTCGGCGCTCATGGCATAGCTATTGGTCAGCTTGCGATCACGGATTAGAGACAAGGAAGAACCGCGACAGCATTAATGTTTCGTTCGAGGTACGGTTATCGAGGGCGTGGCGACACTAGTTTGAATCAGATTTCCGATCCGGGAATGGTAATAGACACCGGTTCACTGGGTAACTTTCTTTTCCTACGTTCTCTTTACTTTCGCATGTCTTTGCTCTCACCTCTTTATACCTTTGTTCTTTCTCTTTTTTCGTTGCTCATTCCCCAGTCACATTCTCTTCGTGAACAAGAGAGAACCAGAAGGGAAGAACTATGTGGAGATTTTTGGAAGCAAAAACAACCAGACGATGTGAGGGAAAGGGAAGAAATGGACGGATGGTCGTTCATGGTTGCTTTGCTCTCTGTGTGCTCTCTGCTCTTCCCCATCCCCATCTCTGATTTTTGTCACTTTCACTTACCTCCCCTCCTATTTCGGATCATGGCTTGTCTTCGCTTGTTCATCCATTGGTATTTATTGTGGTCAGCAGCTCGAATCATTTCCGACCGGACGTCGAGCGATCGTTAATTCTACTTGCGCCAATTTAGTCGTCCCTACGTGTGTCCCCGATATCCGCGTTCATCGTCCGTCTTGATCGCATTCTAATAAGAGAACGATTGCCATCCTTTCACCGTCCATATCCTTTCACCATCCATATCCTTTCACCATCCATCACGAACGGCTAAGCTTCGCGAGATCCTTTCCGTCGATCTGTCGTTTCGGCTACCGACTCATGATGTCATAGTCCAGTAGAAGTAGTCGTAAGTATCAATTCCTGTATGGAAACAGTGTATCATAAAATGGATGTTTGACGTGCTCGATGTTTGATCATCCACATTGCTCCATACTGGTCGTTCTTAGTGTCCGTAGCATGAGAACTGACATCTCGAGCTCATGCCGAAGGCGCCACGTACTCACGGTTCCTCCATTTTTACACAAAGATATGAGAGTGAGGCTTGAGGTTCGTCAACCCGGCCATGACTCGATCATCGGTCAATGCGCTTAATTCCTGCTTGTTCTTGTCATTGTTCCTAATGAATCATTGGCTATCCGATACATGATTTCAAGGCTCATGAAAGTTCAAGGCTGATTTGGCAGGAACCCGTTTCCCCGTCAGAGTGGTCGAAAACGCTACCACCGTACGCATTATAACTTTTCCAGTGGAGCCAGATATCTCCTGAGGGTCGCAATGAGACGAAACCCCCTTATCGTAGTGACACACTTCTCTACTTTAGAGATGCACCCCCTGCTTTGAATATTCGTAGGAGAAGCCTGTAACTGCCTCAACTGTACAAGAGTTAAACCCTAGGGCCTAGGACATGACGATGGGCATTACATGATGTAATAGCTCTTTCTACTCCATGTACTTGTTGCACTATGAATCACACAGATTATCCGAGTAGGGAACATCAAAAGGTGACTATAGTTATAGGTACAGTTGGTAGCAGAGTAAGCACAGCTCATAGAGAAGTAATTGAATGCGCAATAGTACAGTCTAATTAGCTGCGTGGTTAGTGCTGGTGGAAATCTAACACTTTAAGAGCCTATTGCATAGGTATCCCATGTTGCTATTTAGTATGGGAATTAGAATACTCAGGATTCATACTGAATACATGATGCTTGGTCTTGCCATTTACATCAGAGAAGTGGTTTATCAGTAAGGTTGAGTGGTATGTCTTGGCTATAGCCCTCTCACTCTACGAACATCTTCCAATGCCCTCCTTACTGGGGGTTTGTCTAGGAGATCAATTCTTTTACATATTACTTAATTACCCTAGTGAATACATGTAACTGCTTTCTAGCCAGGCATGAATAATCACTGGATAGGTAGTTAGTTCTGGGTCGTTCATGCTTTAAATGTTAATATTAGCCTTGGATTGATAACTATTTACTTGTGAATATCCATCATTTGGCTATAATATTTACCTTGGTAATGCCTAAAGTAACTCTAGTCTACCTTACTAAATAGGCCTCCTTATTCACTAGTAAGATTCATGTTCGCAATGTAGGCCCTTAAGATATGCATATTCCCTACGTTGCTCTCAGATGAGACAACCTTTATAAAAGAACCATCACTACTTAACATGGCTTGAAGAGCTTATTTCGCATCTAATATCATAATCCATGTAGACGTACAGCTAAGGTAACAATTGCATCTCAACGCAGTTACATTATGAAGTACATGATAAAGGTGGCCTGAAATATCTGAGTTTCTAGCGAACCACGGATAGGACATGTTTCATGCTATGTTCGACTGCAACAAAATTGTACCAAGCTGATCACTGCATCTTTTCGTATGTGGCCATCAGAGAACCTATTTGGATGAGTTAGTAGGCATGATCTGTGTGGAGCAGAACCTGACTTACCAATAAATGTAGTGACCAAGCGAGACCGAACTTGACAAATATCCTCAGGAACCAACCAGATAGTTGCGCCTAGCTTTCTTGCTATGCTAATGCTCAATTTGGCATTGGCGTACGCTTC